TTATAAGTTCTACAACAGAGGATTTGTTTCAGTTTCCTCAGGAGAGCTGAATGGAGTGAGAAAAGAAAAGAAAAGAAATTTTCTACATTTGGCAAAAATCATCCAACAAGTGTCTTTCTTTGGCACTCAGAGCAAATCTTTACCTTTAACCTTTACCTGAGTTTGTCCTTTGGCTTTTCATCACGGAGGGATTTGCGGCAGAGCTTTAATTTACTGCCAGGGTACGGGAACTCCCGCATCTCCATCTGATCGCAGTAAATGCGCAGGGGCTTAAGGACACCTCTTAGCTCCATCAGCTGTTCTGGAATGTGATATAGATGTCAAAAGTGTGATCTCATCAAGAAGGCATCAAGAAAAGGCATCATTATTCATGAGGCCAATTTTTACCTTCCACACATGTTTATTCCCCTTTGAGTGGAATCAAGCCAATCCATTTTTGTCTTACAGTTTGGAAGACTTCTTGTCTTCCACGTCACAGTACACTGGGAATTATATCACTTGGACTGTAACCACTTTTAATTTTTTTAAATTTCCTGTCAAATGGTCTTTAAGTATGAAATATTTCAGGAGATTCTTCTGAGGAGACTAGATGTCAGATACTTTACTTGCATAATGAAGGAGAAGGTCAAAGACAAGACAACTTGGCGCTATGGGTCTGAAAGGATGTGTAGCTGTCAAGAAGAACCTCACTGAGAAAAGGACACAGACACATCAAACAAAACCACCCACCCTGACCACCCCAGAGTCCAGACCTCAACATCACTGTATGTGTTTGATTACTTCAGAAAATGATCAACCAACTTCTAAGACTGAACTTTGAGGTATGTCTGCAGATTTCTTTGAGAAACTGAAAGTGAGTCTCCTGAAACGAATGGAAGCTGGAATAAAGGGAAAGAGTGGAGACACTAAATAATGAAACATTTAATAGTATATTTAGTTGTTGAGACTTCTGTGTAATTTTCTCCTAAATATGCATTTTTTTCCTGATGTTGAAAAATGAAGACCTAAATGGTTGTTTTGACTGGGAACTTCTACTGAATGGCTGTTTTGTTTTTCCTGACCAGCCAGAAACCTGACCACGAAAACTGGCAGCAACATAATATTAGAATGTAATGCATGTAAGCCATCACAGTCCACCTGCCACGATATCCACAGACTTGTTGGAGGGCCCGCAGTACAGGATGCCGCGCTTCTTTGGTTTCTTCTGGTCTGAACATGAGTCTTGTTTTACTTGTTCAGCCTCAGGTGCTTTGTTCTTCATGTAGAACTGATAAGTAATGTGAACCCCCACCACAGTTTTGCCGGTACCTGTTTAATAGACAGAATAAATGGGAGTGGAACACTGACCTTCAGAGCAAATAAGCTGCTTCTGTATTCAGACATAATAATGAAACTGAGCCTGTTATAGGGAGAAACAACATGAATACAGTTTAACTATTTAATGATAGCCTATAGAAGAAAAATGCTGGCACCAGCCCATGGCCAGCTGCACTTACTATAAGTAGTTTGCCTCATAGGCTGCCTTTCGTTATGTTGCTTTACATTACATTACAAAATGTTTTATGGTGGTTTTCCACTGCATGGTGTGGCTCAACTAGACTCAAATCTACTCGGTTTTGGTACCAGCTACTTCATTTTCCACTGCAGATATAACACCCCCTCAATGTAGCTGAACGCCATAGCGATGCCACATGAAACTGGCATGATGTGAACGAGACTAATTTTGTTTAGAAGAGGCTGATGGCAGCAACACAAAATACTGCTGAAAAAATAGAGGAGTTTGAGAAATACAACATCAGGGTTTAGATGACAAGATGATTCTGGTGCTCAAAGGCGACACGAGGCAACGCTAACCTGGTAGCTAGTGTTAGCATATGTGTTTAGGGTGATATTGATGATTCTCTCTGACCAGTCAGCAGTCAGCAGTTTTTTCATGTCACCTTTTGGTATTGGTTCAGCCCGCTTAGAACCTTGATGGAGGTGATGCCTAAAATTGTACCAGGTACCAGTTTTGCCTAATGGAGACCCAAAAAGGCGAGTTGGGTTGAGCTGGTACCATGTGACAGAGAAGCAGCTTTACTGTTGCAGAAAGCACCAAAGGCCTATCAACTAAATACTCAATAGTTACATGTACCTGGTGGCCCTTGGATCACAGTGAAGGAATTTTGCAAAGCCCTCTGGACAGCTTTCTCCTGACTCTCATTCAGAGGTGGCAGATGAACCAGGTCGCCCATCTCACCCAGGTTGTGGTGATCAACTAAATGTGGCTCTTCATTTTTAGCTGTTAAAAAACAGTGGTTTCAAGTGGTAATATAAAAGTGGAGCACAGCGCATTAGTGGTAAAAGCATTTTGCTGCATGAGATTTTATTGTCTTGTCAAAGCAACATCTCGGTAAAGAAACTGTAAGATCCTTAAACAAAACTTACCAGAATGCTCATGTATATCCCCAGTGGCAATGCTTTGCACCAGCTTGTTTGCTTTTTTTACATTGGCTACAGCATTTTCATTTAGCCTGCAATTTCATAATAAATCATAAATAAATCATACTAAATTACTGGCCTGTCCTAAAGTCAGAGACCACCCTTTATTTGTTTAAGTTCCAGTGAAACTGGCCATTAAGTTGGAAATATTTCTGAGGAGATCAGATAAAGAATAATCCATTTGCACAAGGAAGGGAAAAGTTGAAGGAAACTAAGTGGACTGCTAAGCCTAAATTTGAGATCTCTGGAAGTAACAGAAGGCATATAGTGTATATACAGTGCAGAAGCAAGAAAAGACTCTTCATGTCTACAACCATCAATCAAACATGATGTGCAAGCTTAGGGAATGTATAACAACATCTGGACATGGTCATTTGTTTTTGACTTGTTTTTGAAATTTTAATAAATCATACTGGAAAACATTTGATTAGGGAAGAAATTTATTCTACAGCAAGAGAATGACCTCAAGCATGCTGCTAAGTAGATACTTAAACAAAGAAGCTGCTGGTGTTCTCAGAACAATGGACTGACCACCCCAGAGTTTAGAATATGCTAAGCCAACTTCTGAACTTTGGAGGTGTGCTTCTTTGATAAACTGAAAGTAATTCTCTTGAAAAGAATGGAAGTTGTAATAAAGGTGAAGAGTGACACACTGAACACTCAAACATCTGGTATTAGATTTTGTTGTTGAGGCTTCTGTTAAGTGTTTTCTGCTTTTTTTCTCATGCTGAAAAACGAGTAACTTGTGCTTAATAATAATTTTTTATTGGAAATTAAATAAATTAAAGAATGGTCTCTGACCAATGCACAGTAAAGGATATGCATTATAACAGGGTTGCTTAATCCTGGTCTTGGAGATCTACCATCCTGGAGAGTTCAGATCCAATACACATGGCTCATATAGTCAGATGCCCCTGAAGGCCTTGATTACCTGGATCAGGTGTGTTAGTGTTGGAGGTAAACTCTGCGGGGTGGTAGATCTCCAGGACCAGGATTGGGCACCCCTGCATTACAAACTGTTTACAGTTGAACAAACCTGAATAACAAACTCTAAATTTTCATTCATGATTGAGTGCCTATTGTAATGAAACCACACAAACGATTAAGATGATATGTGACTTACATATATGGAATTTTCTTTGGAATGACTTCTACGGTGAACTTGGTGTCCTTGTCGAAAACTTTATCTGGAATGATGGTCATGCTCCGGTGGTTTATTTGAAAATTTATTTGAATGAGCTTTGATGTTTCATTTCTCTTCTCTTTATTCATCTCATGTTTTAGATTTAGTGGCCACGCCATGTGCAACCCATGTGAAGGGTAGTGTGTCCTCCAAATCAGGCAAGCCAGAGCTATTGCATTGGTTTATTTCTGTCTGTTCTTTCTCAACACACAGACCTCGCAACCTGATGCAGAGGAAGCAGTTTGTCAGATCAAAGTCCAGTTGCCAGTCTTTCTTTCGTGTTTGTGTCATTTGGAAGAAACCCTTTAGATCTGTGCCTGTCCCTTGTGTCCATGTTATTTTCACATCTTCAAGGACTACACTGTTATTTTCTTCCACAGCATTGTATGCAGTGTCGATCTTACAGATCCCCCTCCAAATCTTCTGATACTCCATATAATTGTCATACTTTGTCTTTGATGCGTCACATACATCTCTGAAAAAGCACATGATTGGGTTTCTTGCGTGCTCCAGACAGACCTCAAACAATGGGTTGATGTTGAGGAGCTTGACTGTGGGTGTTGTCATTCCCTTAATGATTTCTGTCCCAAGCTGCACTTGTATTACTTCTCCTAACTTGAGTTCCATGTCAAACTTTTTAAAATGCTGTGAGTCTTCTGAACAAGCTTCTTCTGTTAGCCTCTCAGGATTTCTGTTTGCTGTTCTCACATCTTGAAGGCACCTTCTGACCTTATCCCAGTCTTCAACCTTAACTGCAGATATAATTTGTCTCCACTTATTGACTGAGATTGAAGTCACATTTCTGCTGAACTTGAATGAGTCCTGAGGCTATCACTGAATGAATATATTCTTCTCTTCCAGTGGAGAGTGATGGATTTCTTGTCTTCGTCGTACTCAGGCTGCTCAACAACTTTTAGGTGCCTGTACAGGATAGTCAACTCTGTACACACTTGGCCAAAAGGAAGTGAAATCATGAACTCGTGTTCTTTTGAAGGAACCTGGTCTACTACTGCCAGCTTTGTCACAACTCTGGAACTGAATTTAGAGGTAGTGATGAACTGTAATGCTTGCAATTCAAAGTCCTCAGCATAGTCTGATTGTTCCATGCAAGAGTTGCAGAATTGATCAATCTCAGCTATTGTGTAGTCCACCTTCTTCTTTCCACAGAGCACACTGTGGAGTAGCCTCTGAAGGATCAGATCAAGGTAGCGTCTCATAGGGGAAGATGCCCAGGTGTATGCATTGAGTTGCAAACCAAAGTGTCCCATTTTTGAAGGCAAGGAGGTGCAGGATCTCAAAATGACAGCTTTATGTTGAAAATCCTGAAACTCTTTTGCCATGGGACGCAGCTTAGGGTGGATGTTATCTGATATGATCAACTGAACCAGGGAGTGATAATCTTTGTTCTCTGCCAGAGCTTTCATTTTTTGTAATACAGGTGTAATGACAGTAAGTGATGTGTCATTGTCTTGAATGCTTTCAGTTTCTTCTTCTTGTTGTTCTTCTTCTTCAGCGTCTTTCTCTTCTTGTTCTCTTCTTCTTCTTCTTCTTCTTCTTCTGTCCAAACTTCATTGGATTCTTCCACCTCCTGAAACTCCTCAACTTCACAGATATGTGATAGATAAGGAGACAAGGGCAGAAGGTCAGAATATTTCATTTTAAACTCTTCAAGTTCTTCAAGGTCTGGTTCCTGGTGGCATCTCAGTGGGGTGAGATCTCTTGTTAGGTCTGCAGAGATGAGTTCCTCTGCTACTGCACTGTTGTAGAGATTCATCAGCTCTTCCACCATGCAGTGGGCCCTGCTCTGTTTTGTCCATTGTCCAGAGCTCCAGCCTCCATCCAGCCTGTACTTCCTGTGCACTTCGGTAAAACAATAGGCAGTAGCAACACAATCTTCTACACTTGAGAAACATAGAGGCCCTGAATTATCCAAGCAGCGCTCCTGAATTATCCTGTCAGCCTCTGCATATGACAGCTGCCTGTCAGAGCTGATGAGAGAAAGAGTAAAACGACTGGATACTATTGTGTTGGTGACCTTGTTAACCACTGCTAGCAAGGATATGGTTTTTCGATCCTTATTGGGAAGTAAGCTTAAGTATTCAGAGCTCAGTTTTCTGGAAAACATGAAGGATGTTTCTGCCTGTATTTCCGGTGGAGGGTAAAAAGTTCTTCCTTTCTGTTTTGCCAGGGTATCCTCATCACTGTCTTTGCTGATGTAGCTTGCCACATCTGTAATATGAACAGCAATCACATATGTTTCTCCATTGTCAGTCAGGCTAATAGCGTCATCCAAGTCTTGCGTCCCCTTAGAGTCTATGGTAAACGTTATGTCTTTGCGAAAATCCTCTCTTTTTTTATCATCCTCCATGTCTTCTCTTGGTTGAAATGAAGAGGCAGGGGTGTCCTTTATTCCAGCCTTTTTTGAAAGTATTTGAAACATTTCATACAAGTAATCCTCACATGAAAGAACCTTTGTAACCACTCCAAGAGGATGTGAACAATGTTTTTCCCATTTCAGCACCTTGACGACTAAAAGTTGATCGCCAGCTTTACCTACGAATTTGTCTTTGACCCACAATTGACTGTTGAACTGGTCCTTTCTTCGTATTTCTATTTTATCTGGCTTTGTTTGAATGATACGAATTCTGGTCATGTCATTCTTGACAGGCGTAACAAGTTGATCAAGTCCTTCCATCTTACAGATGAAGGTACACTGTTCTTCGTCTCTTCGCATCAATCCTACAACCTTCCCTGTCACCCGCTCACCTCCTTGTACCTGTGGTTCCCTGCTCAAGATCTGAATGCAGACCTCATCACCAGGAAAAGATCTGCCCACGTTATTTCTTCCAGTAATTTTGATGAGAAGGGTTGGGTCATTGAGAGGTTTGGCATATGCCAGATCATGTCTCTCCATTTTAAGCTTACAGTGCTTATACTCATTTGGCTTGGTTTTTCAGCAGATCTTGGATCTCTCCTTGATTCTGTTCTTGGTCAAATTGAGACTCCTGCTGAAAGTTTGGGCTTGACTGCCTGAAGAGGATTCCTGAGATTTGTGACTGCAGTACTGACTTCTCCATGTTCTCAAAGTGGCCAGTAAATAGGATGTGCAATCAATCACGGAAAAACTTATGATGGGTGTGGTTCTCAGCCCAGCTGGTGAAGAGGAGCACTTACATCAGTGTAAACTAACAGATAATATCTTTGGTCATGTCAGTGGATATCAAAAAGGGCTAACATTTTGGCCCTGTTGGTTTTTATGATCCACTCAACACACTTTCTGTGGTCCTATGAACACACAAAGCATACAGATGCTTAGACTATTTCTCAATTCTTCAAGTCTGACTTGCTTTCTAGAGTAAAATTTTCATTTAGCATGTAGTAGCTATACCATTACAAACAACCAAATATGTATGTAGCTAATAATAAAATTACAGGCATTTTTTGGTTGATTTGTGCCTATTTTAGTGAGAGCAAGTATTATATAGAGCGTATGAAGCCCAGCAACAATGTCACTGACACTGTCACCTGCCCTGAGATGAGGAAGCTTCATGGAAGAAGCTGGAAGGTATTTAATTAGTTTTGACTTGATGAATGTGCTGTGGTTGATGCTTTACCTGTCTTCACAAAGGACTAAACTGCTGTAGGCTAAATTGTCAGATATATGAAAATGTTTTGGTTTTTGTGACATCATAAAAACTCTGAATACAAAACATTCCTTCATAGGAGAAAGCGGGGCACAACATTTTGGCATGTTGTACCCCGCTTTCACTTTTGTGAAATAATTTTCAAAATATTTAAGTTGGAATAATCATGTTTTTATACAAGCAACATATGCATCTCTGCTACAAATGAACACTTGAACTTTGTTTCTAGCACCTTCCGTTCATGTACAATTCCACCCAAAATTACAGGAAGTGCAGTGTTACAATTTACCCCATGGGTGGGCAGAGGGTTAGTTCTAACACTTACTAGAAAAGTCAATTCAATATAATTACATGTTGTAAGAAACATTTTCCAACTGTACTTCATTATTTATTATTTATTTATGAGACAGACAGCTCAGCTGATAGACACACACACACACATCAAATTACATATGAACACTGACATGAGACTGTGTGTCAAACAATGACAGATGTATTTTTTGTCCAGTGAAGGACAGCAAATAAAAAACATCTCACATCAGTAAAATGTGAAACATTATTTTTGAGCTTTACCAACTGTTGATGTCAATTTTATTAATATTCTTATTTATAATTAAAATACTAACATCTGGAAGATACTAGAGGAAAATCCATGTTTTCAGATATTTCTCCTTTTCATTTTAAAATCTGCAAACAAATGAATAAAAAATGTATTTGTCTACTAAATGTGGTTTAGATGTAACACCATGTAACATCTGACCACATAGAACGGAGGTTATACTTAAGCCTAGCTGGCACTTGCTGTGAGCTTGTTACCTGCTTCAAATCGGTGCTATGTTGTAGGAAACAAGATGGTGATAAGGTTAAAGTAGTGTAAGGTTGGATTTTGTGATTTACACAAACAGCTTAGTAGCCAAAAAAAATTATGTTGAAAAAAATGACTTACATGCCCTGAAAACACTCTTTGGCTCACATCTCTTTAAACACTGACAAATCACTTCGAAGTTTGGTGGGAGACTGTGGCGAGGAAATGTGGTAATGTGGCCAGAAGCTCACGCTGCTTGACCTTGTATAAAAACATAAAAAGTCTGTGTTAAATTGTGCCCTGCGTTAAGTTGTTCCCATGCTCCCCTATACGTTGTTTGGACCACAGAATAAATGATGCATTTAACCTTTTCTAGATTACTGTACCGCTACCTTTTTTGTACATAATTTTTATGCATCAAATCGTCCAGCAATGTGGTAATGCAATGTACTGTTAGAAAGCTTTCAATCTCAGAATTCAACTCCCATAAACCATTTTATGATCTGTTATTCACAGCTGTTACGATCGCCACATCTGCAACAAAAGCACCAAATGAGCAAATGCTAGCAAATCTGTGGGTCCTCACCTTCAAAGCCTCACCGCTCTCCACAGCGACATCAGAATCCAAAACATGTGGTCTGATAACACGTCAGAGATCAGTTTAGAGATCCATGAGTCATGTGGAAATAAATTCCTCTGTTCTAGCCCCTGTTGCTCTGTGTCAGTAATTCATACAATTATTCTGGCAATTTTTAAAAAAACTAGGGAGTGGTCTCTTTCAAATAGGCCCCAATTGACTGTAGCCCAAAGTATGAGGGAACAGCGCTCCTTTTACTTTGGGTTTGCCATTTCAGACAAAAATAGGGTGACAGTTAAAAGGTTAAATATAACAAAGTTCATTTACTACATAAAATCATTTTTGTTTTAAAAAAGCGAGAATTTTTTGGCTCTCTGTGGGTCCTTTAACAGAAAGCACTAATTATAATACTACACAATTAAAAATGGAGGTTCTTCAAGGGTTTTTTAGTAAAGAAAATAGTTCTATATAGAACCATGAACACTCAAAGAACGATTTTGATGATTAAAGCGTTCTTTGCATTGTGAAAGAGTTCTTCAGATTGACGACAAATCTGCTGTAGATGGTTCTATGTAGAATGTTTTTGAAAAGGGTTCTATATAGCACCAAAAGGGTTCTTCTGTTATTACAAGCTTAACATTGTAACAATAGAAGAACCCTTTTTGGTGTTATATAGAACCATATACAACACATTCTCCATCAATCTGAATAACACTTTCACAGAGCAAAGAACCCTTTAATCATGAAAAAGGTGTTCATAGTTCCATATAGAACCATTTTCTTTGCTAAAGAACCCTGGAAGAACCACCACTTTAAGTGTGCACACTGGACAGATGGATGCTTATTATTTAGACAAAGAAGCTGTAAAACCCAACACTGTTAATCATAGTTTTGTTTCCCTGATCTTATTCAAGATTAACTGGATATTCAGTACAAAACTGAAACTAGCGCAAAAGCAGGAAAGAGCAGCATTACTCACCATGTAGATCACCTGGCTCTTTGCAAAGATAAGCTGCCGTGTTCTCCCTCACCTAATGTTACTATGACTTCGCTCCTCCCTCTAGAGTGGTGCACTTAACCTTTTCAGTGCCTTGCATAATGCTTATTGAACTTCAGCTCAGAGTAAAACAATATAAAAGCTCAGATCTGACTCATGTAATCACATGCTTACGTGTTATTTCCCCACAAGCATCCAGATCTAAAATGTTTGTTGATGTAATAAGTTGTTAGCTGGCTGTGCTGTGTGACGTTGCAGCACCATTAATATAGTTTTAATGAATAGGAAAAACAGTATTTGCAAAGTAATTGTATTCTTTTAGATTTCTTAGGTTACCTGCCTCAGAAATAGGAATAGATAAAACACTTGAGGATTTTACCTTAAAAAGTTTTTGAAATTCTGATAGTAGGTTAAACAAAAATATGCAGTTACATCCTGTTAAATTATTATTTGATTTTTAACTTAAAGGGGAATTCTATCACTTTGCTGCATAAAAATAAAAAAAAAGATTTAGCATAATTTAGTCATTGAGAGTCATTCAGAGTGGTTGTGTGTGTGTCGCTCTTTACCTTTATTCCAGCTTACATTCTTTTCAGGATGACGTGTAGACATATGGGGAAAAAAATAAGGGCGTGTAGAGTTTCTGTGGAGCTCTGCAGAGTACACCAGTTTGCCATTCTAATTTACATTTGTATTTGCCATTCTAATTTGTCATTATTGTCATGTAGAGCCTTTAAAGAAGGTTTCTTTTGGCGCTAAGTTGTAACCCAGAATCACATTTAGATCATAACAACTTTTCACGTAACTGGGTGGCAGCTTATTACAACCAGCCTGTCCATTGACCTTTAATCTTTTATTCTTTGGTGATACTATCTGAACCTGCAGTTTTATCAGCCTGATAGAGCTTCTTGTTTGCTGTATGGTTGATGTGATCATTTAAATTACACTTTGGTAAGATGATAAAAAAACTGTTTCTGAAAGTTGTACAGTGTACCTTCAATATACCTATTATGTTATACTGTAAAAAAAAAGTAACCAGGTTAACCTGACAGGTTGAGTTAATTGAACTTAAATTAATAAGTTAACAAATGTAAAACAAATTATTCTTTTGTTTCTTTATTTTATATTGCAAGTTCTATGAAATCAAAGTTTTTTAAGTTTAAAAGCTGCATTTTTTTTATACAGTGTACAGTTAATTAAGAAACTGTCAACAACTTTTTGGAGCTTCTGATAATGAGTAATTATAATAAACAGTGGAAAAGGCCCCTAGTTAAAGGCCCCATATCCTATATTTTTTCTTTCTGAGGTTCGTTTCTAATGTTTGTGCGATTTTATGTACCAAAAATTTGTTTATATGACCATTTTCCAGCCTTGGCTGGGTCATGCCCTGTCCTTGTCTTTATCTGTTTCTAGCCATGTGTCTTGTTATTGTTTCTGTCTTCTGCTCTGTCCTGCCTCCCGGGTACCTGTCTCACCTGTCCGTAGTCTGTAGCCCCGCCCTCTCATTAGCCCCAGGTGTTTCTTGTTTGTTCTCTGTGTATTTAAGTTGTTTGTGTTCTGTTTGCTCAGTGTTTTGTTTCTCAGGCCTTGTTTTGTGGTTTTCCCTGATGGTTTTCTTCATGTTTGTCAGTCTTTTGTTTTCATTCTGTTTTAGTATTTTGATCCTTAGTGTTTTTTCTTTGTTTTGTTACTTTTGTGGCTTTGTTGCTATGGGTTTCAACGAAAACATGACCTTGCACTTTCATCCTACCTCTTTGCCTCCCTCGTCGTTACACTCAGTGTGTGAAATAAACCCTGGTATTCGGGGGGTCTTATGTAGGCCAGCTGCTAAATCACGTCTTAGTGGTGCTGATGCTAGTTTCAACTGCAAGAAAATGTTTGGTTAAACAATTCTTCTTCTCTAAATGCTCTATTCTAGTTCTAGTTTGGTAATGCGCTCTTCCTCACATTAACTGAAATCTTACTCATCTCCTCTTGTCTTGAACAGTCTGGAACAGTCGTTCTTTACACCAAATGCTGGAGAAAATGGGCGAGTTTTTAGATTTACAAATACACTGCATAAGTTTTTCGGAACTGGGTGAACTAATTTGCAGCAGCGCCACCCTGAGGCAGAACAGTGCTACAGCTTTGCTTAGTTAAGAATATCAAAGACAGAAGCTGATTGTGGGTGAAACAGCCGAACAATGACAGCGAAACATCATACGTTTATTGTCAGAGACCCCCCAGAATTTTAGGTGTTCGGGGGTCCAAGAAGTTAATTAGGGGGTCCAACCCCCCCCCAGAGCCTGGTGTTTTTCACACCTTGGTTACACTTCTCTGTATCACCAAGAATTAAAGGCTGTTTTTGTAACTGTGCCTTTAAGACAATATATGTACAACCCCATTTCCAAAAACGTTGGGACACTGAAAATGTAAATAAAAACAAAATGCAATGATGTGCAAATTATTTAAACCCTATATTTAATTGAAAACAGTACAAAGACAACATATGAAATGTTGAAACTAAGAAATTTTATTGTTGAATGAAAAATATTTGCCCATTTTGAGTTTGATGCCAACAACACTTTCCAAAAAGGTTGGGATAGGGCAACAAAAGACTGGTAAAGTTGTGTAACGCACACCTGGTGGTTGATTGGCAACAGGTCTGTAATTTATGATTGGGTATAAAAGAACATCTCAGAGAGGCTGAGTCTTTCAGAAGTAAAGATGAGGAGGGGTTCACCATTCTGTGAAAGACTGCATGATCAAATAGTACAACAATTCAAGAATAACGTTTCTCAACATAAAATAGCAAAGAACTTTTGCTTTCCTCATCTATAGTATATAATATCGTTAAAGGGTTCAGAGAATCTGGAGAAATCTCTGTATGCACGGGACAAGGCCAAAAACCAGTATTTGCTGGCCTTTGGGCCCTCAGGCCGCACTGCATTAAAAACAGACATTATTCTGTAGTGGAAATCACTGCATGGGCTCAGAAACACTTCTGAAAACCACTGTCTGTGAAAACAGTTCATCACTGTATCCACAAATGCAAGTTAAAACTCTAAAACACAAGGAAGAAACTATATATGAACAGGATCCAGAAACGCTATTAAACGCTATGTAAACCCCATTTTTCCACAAATCTGGGATATAAACTATAAACAGATGGTGTTTCTTCAGTGATCTGCTCTGTAAAAATTATTTGTATAAAAAAATACAAAGAGCGTCTAAGATTTTTGGCTTTCAGCAGTAAATTGTAAGCATATAGCAATATGTGTATGATCATAAAAAACATGTTCCGTTAATTTGAGGGGAACTTTTACAAAAAATAAATAAATGAAATTAAAATGTACATTTATTTCATGCAGTTACTGAATGATTTGCCTTACGATTTGGTCATGTAAATTCGGATGGAAAAACCAAAATATACCCACGAGCATAAGAGGTTCAAATGGACTGAGGGGAAGTAGAAAAGTGTCCTGTGGTCCAACGAATCAACATTTGAAGTTCTTTTTGGAAATCATGGACACTGTGTCCTCCGGGCTAAAGACCACTCAGCTTGTTATCAGTGCACAGTTCAAAAGCCAGTATTCATGATGGTATAGGGGTGCATTAGTGCACATGGCATGGGTGACATGCACATCTGTGAAGGCACCATCAATGCTGAATGATATACACATGTTTTGGCAACATATGCTGCCATCCAGATGACGTCTGTTTCAGGGAAGACGGTGCAAAACCACATTCTGCATGTATTACAACAGCATTGCTCTGTATTAAAAGAGTGCAGGTGCTAAACTGGTCCAGATCTGTCACCACTGAAAACATATGACAAAGGAGCCCCCGAACTGTTGAGCAGCTGGAATCCTATATCAAACAAGAATGGGAAAACATTTTAATTTCAAAACTACAGCAGTTGGTCTATACAGTTTCTCAGTTTCAACATTTGATTTATTGTCTTTGTACTATTTTCAATGAAATATAGGGTTCAAATGAGGTGCAAATCGTTGCATTTTGTTTTTATTTACATTTTGCTCAGTTTCCCAACTTTTTCAGAAATGAGGTTGTAAATGATTTCCTTTTTGACTGGCTGTCCTCATTCAAAAGCAGTCTGAGATGAATCACTCCTTATAACTTCTGCGTGAGTGGGCACAGCTAAGCACTGCTTCATGCTAAATAGGGCAAGTCAGCGTTACATCACAGCAGAGAACTTATCTCTGGGTTGATCATGCTGGTTTTGTACCAATCCTGATACTTACAAAGCTTTTTTCAGTGATCTTGTGATTAAACATCTAAATACTGAGTTAATGCGTACCTCCACATATTCTTTATTCAGTACTGGTAAAATATGCTCCTAATGTCATCGTTGTTAATGTTGGCAAACCTATGTGGTACTAAAGCTGTTCTGGTGTCATGAAATTCTATTTTAAACTGATCTTCCCACTTCAGTAACGACCATGAAAGGTCCTACATACAATATTAAACATTAATAAAGCAGCAAACAACTATTTTCAGTGTGGAGATATAGTGGAGTAAAGATGTCCTGAACAGAAACTGATGTCACGCCTCCTCTGTTTGTATTGTAATCTGCTTGACAATATTAACTCATTTTTGTTGTTGCACAGAACCAGTAGATCAGTATTATTTTGTGGTTAGCTTCTGGTTAGCTTTGCAACAGCAATTGTAGTGACATTTTGCTAACCCAGAACCTAGCTAACGTTAGTTACATTACTTGCTTCAAATAGACCACTGTAGTTGTGTCGTCATTTTGTAGTCAGAGCCATGCTCTTATGCCCATATTAGGAACTCCAGGTCCAAGCTCCATTTCTCTATGGCCAGAATGAATAGGGTCTTTGAAAAAATCGCCTCTATCGCACACTGTGTTAAATAAAAATGTTCAGAACCCGATACGTTTTGTCCTATGGACATTCTACGAGGTCATTAAAGAGTTGAAATATGAATATTGCTACATGTGAGCTAAAGCTACTGCACACTGAATTCACGTCATTAGACTGGCAGCCTCCTTAAGCGGGTTTTGTCAGTGTACATTTCCGTGTACAGAATGACGGCAGATAAAAAGAAGTCAGAACAAAATCAGCAGGTTTC